TTATTCTTTGTGTGATACTTTAGGAGACAAGTTAAGCAGTGGATGTAAGCATCATCTCTATCATCAGACACACCTGGATTGAGCCTCGGCTTCACCACTGAGTTCTGCCAATAATACCTCTATGTTCTATAGTTCTTTGTGCCTCTCTGTTCCTGTTTCCTTAGGCAGAAAAGGGAAGCAACAAAAGTAGCTATCTCATAGCGTTGTGGTGAGCTTCAGTGACATAAGGCATGTAAGAGATTTAGCCTGACAATATAAGTTCTGTAAGGATGATAGAGATTAATTTCATGCTTAAATATGTAGTACAGCAGCTTATTAAAGTATGTCTGGGGGGTTCCTGGAGACCCTCAAGATGCTGAAGGGGCTTCTATCAGGTCAAAACTGTTTTGATTAAAATACCAACATGTTATTTGCCCTTTTCACTCTCTTTCTCATGAGTAAAGTAGAGTTTTCCAAAAACTACTTGCAACAGACACATGCAGAAGCAGATAAGGAATTTGTAAGATTATAAAACTATGCCATAGTTCTATTTTCTTTGTTTCAGAAAATAGTTATGTTACATGAAAATACGTTAATTATGTTAACATGTAATGGGTTTATATTATCATTGAATGAATTAATGAATACTTTTTAAAAATAGTCGGTTTTGGCCTGGCATGGTGGCTCATGCCTCTAATCCCAGGCAAGGATTAGAGGAGGCCAGGGTGAGGGGATCTCTTGAGGTCAAGAGTTTGAGACAAACCTGGTCAACATGGTGAAACCCTCTCTATGCCAAAAATACAAAAATTAGCCAGGCATGGTGGCATGCACCTGTGGTCCCAGACACTCAGGAGCCTGAGGCAGGAGAATCGCTTGAACCCAGGAGGTGGAAGTTGCAGTAAGCTGAAATCGCACCACTGTACTCTGGCCTGGGAAATAGAGCAAGACTCAGTCTCAAAAAAAAAAAACAGTCACTTTAAATTTCCAACACAAAACCTATCAATGGCTGTAACCCACATATTCAAAACTCACTGAAGCTCAACATGCTGGCAAGTGCCTGTAGTCCCAGCTACTCAGGAGGCTGCGGTGAGAGAATCACTTGATCCCCAAGAGCTTAAGGTGATAGTGAGCTATAGTCATACCACTGCACTCCAGCCTGAGCTACAGAGAAAGACCCTGTCACTTAAATCAATCCGTCAATCAACCGAAACTCACTGGGACCTTAAATAATGCCTAAGAATGTAAAGGGGTCTCAAGACCAAGAAACCTAAGTACCACTGCAAGCCCGGCACGTAGTAAGCATTGTTAGTAAACCATATAGCAAACGTTACTGAATGGCAAGCATAGAGCTTGGCTTAGGATATCTGCTCAATAAATGACGTTGCTTTTGCTGCTGGTGTGGTGATGTGCGGATGGGAGGAATGAGAATCGCGGGAGGAAGTATGATGCTAGCCTTCAACATGCCTGGAGTACATAACAGTCATTTTCAGATGCAAAGCTTACCTTGCTTTAGGCTGCAGATGTGAGTTAGACTTTAGTGTAACAAAATTATGTTTAGTCTTTCAACTCCCATCCTCTTGGCTTACTCTTTTTGTAATGCAGACGCTCATTCTCTTTTTACCTGAAGCATTTTGGATGGAATTTGGGACTGAGAAATTCAAAAATGTTACGTGTGGTATCAGACTGAAGGAGTTAGAAGTCAGAAACTTTGGGTTTTACAAAGTAAGGAGCTAGGACATGTACTAAGTATTTACAGTGAAAACTGGATGTGAGAACATGCCTCTAAAGCTTCTCATTGGATGCGGGGGTAGAGGTTCCCTTCTCCCCAACCCTTCTCTCAATTTCTCCATCCTCCTGTATGTCTAATCCAGCTTGATGTTATTTGGTTTTTTTTTGTTTTGTTTTGTTTTTTTGAGATGGAGTCTCACTCTGTTACCCAGGCTGGAGTGCAGTGGTGCAATCTCAGCTCATTGCAATCTCTGCCAGCTGGGTTCAAGCAGTTCTCCTGCCTCAGCCTCTTGAGTAGCTGTGATGATACGCCCCTGTCACACAGCACCTGGCTAATTTTTGTATTTTTAGTAGAGACAGGGTTTCACCATGTTGGCCAGGCTGGTCTTGAACTCCTGACCTCGTCATCCACCCTCCTTGGCCTCCCAAAGTTCTGGGATTCCAGGCCTGAGCCACCACTCCTGGCCCAGCTTGACCATTTTATTTGGATATGCTGATAAATTGGCTGTCCAGTAAGAAAAACACACTTTGGTTTGTGGTACTTGCTGATTTCCATGCAGTAAATACTGCTACCATGGGCAGTTTAATGTTACTAATGTAATATTGCTGAACTCCAAGTTGGGCCGGGAAGAACATACAGTAATTGGCTCTCACATGCTGGTTTAAGCTGTTCCCCAGCACACCTGTTTCTCGCCCTCTATCTTGATAGCACCAAGTTAAAATATCTGACTTGCTCTCCTATGTCTTTAATAGCGGGCCCCTCCTCTCCTCAATTTTGTTGTCTAATACCCCCAGCTAGTCAATATCCCCAGGTCCCAGGATCATTACCTGCGGCTTCTGCCTTCATGCTTTAGCTAACGGTACCGCCTCTGGGTCCTGATATGCTCTACTTCATCCTTCTGTTTCCTCATTTGCTGTCCAATTCTTTATGGAAAAACTAAAGTGCTTCTTCCTCCCTAGTCTTCTCTGAACACACAAAGATATCACTCACGTATCTCTTCTAAAATGATAGGACATATTGAGGAATAATATCTAATCTCAGAAACGGTAACATTATTGGTACCCAAAATGTGTTAGTATTGAGAGGGGAGACCCCGTCTCCTCTCCCACTTCCTGGCTTCCACTTCCTCCTCCTCTCTGGAGGGGAAGAAGGGTAAAAAAGAAAGAAAATACCAAAGAGCTGGGAATATGACTCCCTTTTCAGTTCCCAGCATCTCTACTATCTATAAGCCTTGGGAGAGTTGCAAATGAATGTTATCACTTCCGGCCGGAGCCTGGCACTGGGTCACTTCCCCCATGTTTGCACGACCCAGGCTCCCTCCTGGAAACGCCTCTGCTGACTAATAATTTACTGCCTTTGTCTTCTCTCTGTAAGCCCCCTCTCCTTCCTCTCCCACTTGCACTGCACATGAACTAGCAAATCAATGAAGCCAAAAGATTGTAAGGTCAGACGTTCAGCCAATGGACAATGACATAGTTTCATCTCCCTTTAGTGATGTAAGCCTATAAAAGGGGAAAGAAGCTGCTTCTCGGGGAGCTCAGTGAATGACGATGTAGACCCCCTGCAGCTCCTGGCCAAATAAAAAGCCATTTCCTTCTTCAGTTTGGTGTTTGAGAGGTTTGTTTCTTGCTGCTCTTGCTTCAGTATGGTGTTGTTGGTGTTACCAAAATAGCTTAGGACTGCATCCCTAACCCTGCCATTAATGTACTAAGTTGTCATAGGAGAATCACCTAAGGCTGGGTGTGGTGGCTCACACCTATAATTCCAGCACTTTGGGAGGCTGAGATGGGCTTATCTTTTGAAGCCAGGAATTTGAGATCAGCCTGGGCAACACAACAAAACCTTGTTTAATCTCTACAGAAATTAGCCGGGTGTGATGGTATGAACTTACCTGTAGTCGTAGCTACTCGGGAAGCTGAGGTGGGAGGATCACTTGAACCCAGGAGGTCAGGGCTGCAGTGAGCCATGATGGTGCCACTGCACTCCAGCTTAATTGAGCATGAGAAGAAAGAAAGGGAGAGAGAAAGAGAGAGAGAAAGAGTGTGGGGGGGAGAGGGAGAGGAAGAAGGAGAGGGAGAGAGGGAGAGAGAGGGAAGGAGGAAGGGAGAGAGGGTGGGAAGGAGGGAGGGAGGGAGGAAGGAGGGATGGAGGGAGGGAGGGAGAAAGGAAGGAAGGAAGGAAGGAAGGAAGGAAGGAAGGAAGGAAGGAAGGAAGGAAGGAAAGGAAAGGAAAGAAGGGAGCGCATACCTAGATATTCTGAGCCTTGGTTTGCTCATTTGTAAAATGAAGGTAATGGAATACAGGATTTCAAAGAACACTATTTACAGTTATTAAATTCCATTATTCTGTAAGAAAAAAAAAAGGACTTTTTATAAACCTCAAAAATCGCAGGACCTACTCCTGTTCTTAAAATTCAATGTCATTTTTATTTTGAAACAAGTCAGCTTCACCATGTTTTAGTTTATAATTACCCTTCCCTAATGTTTCATATTTAAAGTAGTCCTGTTCACCGTCAGCTTTCATCACAGTTTCTCTGTATTCCCGACAGATGAAACAACATGTAAGTGCTTTTGATGAGTGGTTCGAATGAAAACTAAAGTAACACTTTTTAACTAACTGTAAAAAGCGATCACGTCAAAGAATCAAGAGCACACAAAGTGCACCGAGGCAGAAAACTCCTCAGAAGGAAAGTCTGAGATTCTTAAACATTTTTAACTTGCTTCTGATGAAGTATTTTCTATATGGCCATATCTTCAGGGTCTGAAAGAAGCCATTAGAAAAAAACTGATTTTAGGCCGGGGGCGGTGGCTCACGCCTGTAATCGCAGCACTCTGGGAGGCTAAGGCAGACAGATCATCTGAAGTCAGGAGTTTGAGACCAGCCTGGCCAACATGGTGAAACCCTGTCTCTACTATAAATACAAAAATTAGCCAGGCATGGTGGAGCACACCTGTAATCCCAGCTCTTTGGGAAGCTGAGGCAGGAGAATTGCTTGAACCCAGAAGGAAGGGGTTGCGGTGAACCAAGATCGTACCACTGCACTCCAGCCTGGGTGACAGGGGAAGACTCTGTCTCAAAAAAAAAAAAAAAAAAAATTAGAAGAAGAAAGAAAAGAAAAAAACTGATTTGAGAAAAAAATTTGTTCACATGTAGCTTCATGGGAATTAGAAGATGTATGGCGAGATTCAGTTTTATATTTACTGAGAAAGCCAAACTATATTCTTAAACAAAATGAAACTAAATCATAATTAGTCCCACAATCCTTTCCTTTATATCTTTCTGAAGATTTCAAAGGTTTTTTTTTTTCTCTTTTTTTGCAGGGATGAGATCTTGCTATGTTGGCCAGGCTGGTCTTAAACTGCTGGGCTCAAGCAATCTGCCTGCTTGGGTCTCCCAAAGTGCTGGGATTATAGGTGCGAATCGCCATGCCCAGCCCCAGAGTTTTCTTTTTTATCCCTAAACTTGAGTCAAGTTCCAATCTTTTCAGAATCTTATGCATATTTCTCTTTGCCCACGTGAACCCAGTGTGTGGTTAGGTCATTGCAGGCAAGGAGCTGCGTGTATCCCTTTTGCGTGGTTCGACCCAGCATTCTAAAATTCAGTTTCACCAATGGGGACGAGCGGAATGGCTCAAGCTGATACGATGTGAAAATCTGCAGCTGTTTTCTCAGCATGCTAGGTAGTAAAATCAAGGAACTGCAGGTCGTAAGTGAATTTCGAGGTCATCTGTTTTCTCACAACTTACCATGTAGGAGTTGAGGACCAGCAGCAGCCGCAGCATCAGCTTGTTTGAAATGAGCTCAGGCCTCATCTCAAACCTGCTGAATCAGACTCTCTATTTTTACAAGATCTCCCAAGTGATTTGCAACACACCATCTCCAACTAAGTGGTAATATAGCCGACACGAGCGTGTTCCGTCACAGCAACGCCCAACTTCACAAGGCAACTCATTCCCATTCCTTCTTCCTTCAAAATATCCTAACTACTACTTAAGATTCCCTTGAAAACATTGCCTTAATAACTTACCTTGCTCAAATGAATCATTCAGTGTCTAAATGTATTAGTGCAGAATTTGTACCCAAGTGCGGTCTGAAGCTCTCCATCCTTATTGTTCACAGTCACTTCCGCCAGTGACCTGGTCCACAACATTCTTCCTCTCTGGACCTCTCTTTTCTTCTCTCTCTACTTGTATAGATTTTATCCACCCAAAAACCCTCATGCCTGTGATTTGCCAGTCACTGTAACAGGCTTTCCCTGTTTTCACTGGTTTTATTATTATTTAGGCATGGTAAGGCCAGCATATCAAGAGATGATTGCCATTGAAAAGATGGTTTGTAAATTGCAGTTCCCAAGAAAGGGAGGCATGCTGTGCTATGACTATGTAGGGAGAAGCACCGGGGTCAGTTAGGAGGCAGAGGGAGAGGGGAATTCAAAGGCAAGAGCCTTTAATGTGGTTTTCATGGGGAGGAACAGGGAAGGAGTAAGCCGGCTTAGGATTGGCTAGCATGAATAATTTTAGCTGGCTCTGGGGCATAGAGGCTGTCCCTAGTTGTCTGATACCTGGCCCTGGGGTAATGGGGAGAGTGGCCTGGAGTATGAGAATCCAGTAAGGAGGTAGCTGGAAGTCTGAGCTCTGGATTGGTTGGTTTGCATTTGAAAGCCATGCTCAGGCCAAGTTATTTAGGGTATCTAGAAACTGACTAGCCCTGGGAGGGGAATCCTTCTGGGATTAGCAAGTTTCCAGACATCAAAGCATCAGAACTTGGAAAATAAAAGACATGGTTAATACACTCCCTAAGAATCTCAGGAGTACTTTGGTCTCAGTCTGCAGAAGGAACATTTGTCTTTGTACTTTCCATAGGAGGCAAGGAGAGGAAAATGTGACAATTCAATCATCCTGCAGAAGTGCTTCCAGCTTCCACCCTCAATCATAACGGTGGACGAGGGCATCTTGGGGCATGAAGGAAGATGAATGGGAGAAGCCAAAGCAACGGTAAGAAAGTCCTTCTTCAAGCATTTCTCCCTCAACCCACACCCCATGTCTCTTTTTCTCCTATAGTAAAGCTAGAGATGCTCTCTAGATATTGTACCCAGGCTTTAATTCATCAACCAAAATGTTAACTGATGACAACAGTGGTAGTCGCCTGCTGGACAGTCACATAGATGGCTCTGATTTCAGCAAACAGGGCATCTCCTCTAGGGTTTCAACTGCCTTGTTAGAGTCCTGATTTCTCAGGGAGAAAAGGCAAAGTGTCTTAGCAGCCTGATGCGTGTCCTTTGAAAAAGCTTGACAAGCATTCCTGGTTTGTGGTGGAGCAAGGGCATGTGTGCGCCCATACATAGGTACAGACACACACACACGCACACACAGTCATGCACACACATGCATACACGCTCAGACAGCAGATGACAGATACACTGACTTATATCCCAGTCAGGACATGCCTGAACCAAATGGAATTGTTCCTTCTTTTCCTTTCAGTCCAGCGAAAGTCCCACATTACTACAGAAGGCACCCAGCTGATAGCAATGCGATCAGTACAGGCGAATTGCTGCACAACTGCAGTCAGAAAAATCCATTTTGTCTCTACACCTAAGCTCTGGGAGGACTCTTGGAGGGAACACTTGTGAGATCTTTTTAGCCAACTGGATGTAGGACACTGTAATATTAGGGAAGGTGGTAAAGATTTCCTTAAGTGCTTGTTCACCTAAGGATCAAAGACAAAATCTTAGACAACTGAAAAAGGACAAAGGCATAAATTATTCAAAAGAGCGAATAATCCAGAATAATCCTTATAATGCAAAATTACTGTTCCAAAGTGACTTCTTGTTTCTGTGATCCTTAGCTGCCCATTCACATGCATTAATGAGCTGCCAGGAAGGTAGCTGAAAGCGCTGATTCTGGAAGGGCTTCCTCACTGTAGGTCATACAACCGGGCATTGGTCATTTCTCTGAGAGACCCCCAGGTGTCGCTATCCAGAGGTCCTTTCTCGGCACGGCAGGTTCTCAAATGTCTCACATGGGAAGGAGACTGGTAGGTACAGACCTAGTCGATAGAGTTCTGGGATACACGCGGGGACGAGGAGCTGAAGAGTCGCACCGTTCAACATGTACTAGTTTTGCTGTTCACTGTTTTGATTTCCTTTCCCCACTCCAATCAACCATCATCTGGTCCCACACTTCAGCTCTTTTTTTTTTTTTAAAGACTCTGGAGAGCACTGGAGTGCAGTGGCACAATCTCGACTCACTGCAACCTCCGCCTCCTGGGTTCAAGTGAATCTCCTGCCTCAGTCTCCTGAGTATCTGGGACTACAGGCATGCGTGACCACGCCCAGCTAATTTTTGTATTTTTAGTAGAGACGAGGTTTCACCATGTTGGCTAGGGTGGTCTCGATCTCTTAGCCTCATGATCTGCCAGCCTCGGCCTCCCAAAGTGCTGGGATTACAGGCTTGAACCACCATGACTGACCCACTCCAGTTATTTTAACAGTGAGCCGGGTAGGCTGCCTGACTGCATGGGTTAGGGGAGGGCATCCAAAGTTTTAATTATTTCTTGAGCAGAATTTCAGTCAATCCCATTTCCAGTAATACCTGCACACATGCCTCCAGTTGTATCTGGTGTCCTTGTCTGTGGGAGTTCTGTGGCAAGAATCAACTTACTTCTTAGTTTTCCCCCATTACGAGCACTGATGAAGATACTTACCACTGATGCATCTGCTTACCCAATTGTTAAGTTTTGTCTCCTCCCTTGAATGCTGCCATTACTTCTTCAGGTTATTAGATTCTCATACTCTCTTTGGAAGGGATGAGAGGGGAACCTGTCAAAAGAGGATGAGTCAGTCACACTTTTGATCATGACACATCAACAGTATTGGCCTAAGAAAGGGCCACCTCTTGTTTATATGTCTATTTGTCCTCTCCTCTTTCATCCTTTTTCCACTCCCAGACTTTTCTTCTCCAAACACAATGTTTAATGCACATGGTTTTGTTTGAGTTCTTAAAAATGTGTATTTTTTGTTTTGTGCATATAAATGTGAACATACACACGGTATGTGCCACATTTTCTTTATCCAGTTCTATCCAAGATCATGTCTTTGGCAGAGACATGGGTGGAGCTGGAAGGCGTTATCCTCAGTGAACTGATACATGAACAGAAACCACATGCTCTCAATTACAAGCGGGAGCTTAATGAAGAGAACACCTGGACACACGGTGAGGTGTCAGGGCAGGATGGGGAGACAGCATCAGGAAGAACAGCTACTGAGTGCTGGGCTTAACATAGGTGATGGCTTGATCTGTGCAGCAAACCACCATGATACACATTTATCTATGCAACAAACCAGCGCATCCCACATGGGCACCCCATAAAATGTATGTTGATAAATTTTAAAAAGAAAAAAAGTTACATACAATTCCATTATATGGAATACTTGACAATTTATCAAAACGGCATTCTTTTTTAAAAAATCAAATTTCCTCTTTCACCTAAGATTTAAAATAGGCTAAGATTTAAAGGAACAGCTACAGAGATATCTCAACCAAAAATCAAATACTACAAAGCTCTCGGTTGTTTACAGTCATTAACCTCTTACGCAGCTCACCTTCCCAGTCTGCATTCTCAGTGGTGGTTCTGGTACCATCTTAAGTGAATCCTTGTATTCTTCTGGGAAACTTGTCTTTAAATGCTACAAAGAATCTTTCATCCATGAAACATAAAATACTCTGTAGACATTACCTCATTCTCTCTTCAGAACATCTGTGGAAAGAATCAATAAATAATAAACTGATACTGTACAAGAAAGGAAACTGAGGCTCAGAGAGGAAACTGGCTAATTAAAGACTCTTCCACAGGAGTTAACAGACAGGAATCTGGTGCCACTGCTCGCGGAAACTCCTTTTCCCATTTCACTGACAAAAAAAGGAAGGGAAAAGGAATACATAAATAAATTTAAGCACATTTTTGATATTGTTTCATAATTTATACTAGTTTAATCTAGTATCAATAAAACACAGTATCAACCAAAAAGAGGAGTTTGAATTAACACTGAAGCTGCTTCTTCCTTCTGAGTTAAACGTAGATATTACTTTGTTGTTGCTTTAATTGATACTTGGAAACCAGAAATGGAGTGAGAAGCTCAAATGAATAAAAAAACCAATAGCACATAGAAAAATTTTTGTTGTATTTCTGGCACCCTAGATTATTTCTTGGCATATGAAAACTTTATCTACCAATGATGAACTAGAAGACGACCAGCTGAAAAGGGCACAGAAATTTATATTTCAAAGGAAAAGAAAATATAAACTAAAAATAATCATCCTCCCATTTCTAGAAAATTTTTATTGAAATTTACATTTACATCAGGGCTGGAAGAAAATCTGTTTGCATCGAATAGGAGGCAAATATTTATACTTTTGGTTTATTCTAAACCAAATCAAGATAACATTAATCAGAAATCAAATTGAATTTTCTGTGTGGTGAGGACTTCAGTTTGAGTCTGAGCTGTGTATTCATCTTAAGAATCACGCATTCCTATACCATGCTAGTGGATTAAAAAAATAATAATAATAATAATTTTTAAAAAGAGTCACTCATTCCTTGGCATAGGTGCCTAACTGGTGGCCCAAGACTCCCAAGAGTCTATTTGGACACAAGCCTGTGGATCTCTATTCCTGGAGGAGGGAGCTTCTTACCCTAAAGGAAGACTAATATGCAGTGCTCCCAATTGTCTAGAATAATGGGACAGATATGAGAGGATGGACTCTCTCCAGTGCAGGGTCAGGCACTAAAACCAGAGGTGGAACAAGGCCACAATGGCTGGAGACAGAACCACTGTCTGATATGGAAGTGACGAGTCATTAAGAGACTTGTCACTAAGAGACAAAAACCACTCACTTCTCTGTGCTTTTGGTGCCCATCGCGATGAAAAATTCAAGATTTTAATACAGGTGCAAAGCAAATGGAACTCATTTATAATTTACAATTATGCATTGTTACATTTCCAATAGAGGCATGTTGTTTGCCCTCTAGGACAAGGGTACACAAGCTCTTCATATAAAGAATTCCATAGTAAATATCTAGGCCTGCATGTCACATAGGTTTCTGGCATTTTCGTGTTTTTTGTTCTGTTTTCACAACAATTTAAAGATGTAAAAGCCATTCTTGGGCTGGGCACGGTGGCTCACGCCTGTCATCCCAGGACTTTGGGAGGCCAAGGTGGGCAGATCACAAGGTCAGAAGTTCAAGACCAGCCTGGCCTGTATGTGGTGAAACCCCGATTCTAACTAAAAATACAAAAATTAGCTGAGCACGGTGGTGGGCGCCAGTAATCCCAGCTACTTGGGAGGCTGAGGGACGAAAACCATTTGAATCCAGGAGGTGGAGGTTGCAGTGACCCAAGATTGTGCCACTGCACTCCAGTCTGTGCGACATAGTGAGACTCCATCTCAAAACAACAAAACAAAAAACTATTCTTAGCTCACTGGCCTAAGAAAAGCAGGCCATGAGCTGCCCCCTGCTCCAGAACGTTGGGCCTTCTGTTGGTGTCCGGGGAGCAGGTCATGATGTGAGCGGAAGAGCTTGGTATGCCGTCCTTTCCTCCTCTCCGTGCCAGTTATGACACTCAGTCACCTTGTTGAGTGAGTTCTTTCACCAATCCTGGATATTCATATCTGAGGCCTCCAGCTGTGGTTCAAGAGTAAATAAATAGATAATTCCGTGCCATTCCAGAGGCTGCAGGAAGCAATGTTCTCTGCTGGAACAAGCTAGAGTTGGGTTGATGAAGGGTAGTTTCCTCATTATAGGTGACTTTAGGAGCAAGGGTGGTGGGGTTATTACAGTGGCTCTTGAGTAACAAGCTGACCGGCCCACAGGAATACTAGGGAAGGACACAGGGCTCTGGGCAGGCATTAGCAGTCAGGGCTGGTGGGGTGGGCAGCAGCAGCAGCCACCTGGGGCCCTGCAGACGTGCCACACCTGTGGACATGCAGTCCAGGAAGGGCTGGCTGTGGGCACTGAGTTAGAAATTCAAGAAGAAAAGGAGTGTCATGACAGGTGCCATAGGGGAGCTGGCAGGACTGTGTTTGCAGTCACCTGTGAGACACCACCTGGAGACATGCAGGAAAAAAGGCAGCAGGGACTTTGTGGAGGATGGGGACAGAGGCAAAGGAACACTGTCTTCTATTGTTAGTGTTACCCAATTTTATATTTTAATCTAAAGGGTTCAAGACGGCCTGGAGAAACACAGTTCCCAGAGGTTTGATCCTGATGTTGTTTTCCACTCACATAAATGGAAATAACAGTTTTCAAAAAAAGAATAGTGCTGTGCGATCAGGAAAGCAATATGCCGTCTCTAGTCTGGCTACTCAGTAATTCCCCTAATTCTGCTGACCTCAGGCTGTTTCTCCATATCATATGGAGTTAAAGGAAAAATATCTAAGAGCTGTTTCTGTTTTAAAGATGTTCTACAATTATTTAATGTTAAAGCCATTAATTGCTTATTGAGTCACCTACTATGTTCCCAACATGGTGCTAGAGTAATGAAGCACTGGGAAAAAGGCACCTCTGCACTTTAGAGTCTGTTAAAGTAAAGTAACAATCATGACGTAGGTTATTTGGAGCTGGGGTAGGGGTATGCCTGTGCTGCTAGGAGATTACAGAGGATTTCTACACTCACATAGAAATGAGAACCTGGGGCACAGTTCCGGTGTTACTGAGCAGCAAGAATGAGAGTAGAGGGGGAAGCAAAGGTGGCACATTGATTACAAGACACAGCTGAGGTCTTGATCACGCTAGATGTCTCCAGACAGTTGAACAGAACAGTCTGTTAAGGGTGGGGATAGGGCATGGGGAGAAAGGGGTAAGAGTCTCCCTGTTTCTCATTGGTCAAAGCTCATACTGTAAAGAGAATTCTCTCCTTTACATTTACAGACTGGATGGCCTCGCTCCAGAAGCAGGGAAGTCAGAGCCCAGGCCTCACTACATGGTGCTTCCTCAGACTCTGGGAATACTGTCGGGAGCTGAACTTTGGATACCCAGTGGGTTCAGGCCCCAGGCACCAGGGTCTTTGCGGTCCCGTCATGGTGAGTGTGAAGGAGCCATGCTAGAGTACAACCCTCATCTGGAAAAGGCTGAGAAGCGTGGTAGGGTTAAGAGCTGTGGTGATGATGGGGTAGGGGCTCTTCACTGAGCAAGTGACCCAGACCCAGAAAGCAGATAAAGCCCAGTGAATCTGGAGAAGTGCAAAAACCAGGGCCGTAAAAAACTAAGGCAGAGTTGAAAAGGCTTCCCAGAGATGTTGCTTGAATTGCAGCTGGGAAGAAAGAAGGAATTTCCAAGTCAACAAGCTGGGGAGGGTGGGTGAGAGGTAGTGGGGATGAAAATGAAGGGCTGGCAGCAAGCAATTTTCAGACAAGAAAATAATATTTTCAGAGGCACAGGGTGTGAAAGGAAATGATCAGTCCACTGAACTGCAGGCATTGCCTGGCTGAGAAATGGTGGCACAGGAATGAGGAGAGGCTTCTTCCCTCTGGACAGCCATTCTGTCATCATCGCCAATTACCAACCAGAAACTGAACCTGCATGGGACAAAATGGGAAAGATTTTGTTATACACAAATGTCATAATAGAGAGACGACTCATCATCATTCATTTATTTATTCATTCATTTAATTTGATCAAACAAATTTTTTTTAGACTTACTGTGTGTCAAACATTTTAGTGTACTCAAAATTCAAACCACAGAAAAGTCCTGTGCTCTTTGTAAACTGTTCTGTAGATACTCTGATATGATTTTTTTTAGTGACTGCTCTTCAATCTTTTTAATTTCCTCCGTTGACATTACCAGGGCGTGTATGTATGTGTGGTTGGTTGGGGGTGGGTGTGTATTAATTCCCATGTCTTCCCAAACAGGGATTCATTAATTCTTCATTCTATACTTAATTCTCTCATATGTGGCATCTGTGAAATAAGTGTGGCAATTTGTTAATTAAATATTGACTCCTGGAACATTTTAAGCACTGACAATTTTAGTCAGAAACAGACACTGCTCTTTTCTTGCCCCGGAGCAATGATAACATACATTCCATTGTTGTTACCTGTTTTTATAAAATGTGTGAAAGGATTTTTTATTCACAACTTTGCCTATGACCACTTGAGTTCATGTGAATGATATTTTCACGTGCCCTGAGTTTTTACTAAGCCATTCTATACTGCTGGATTTAAACATCTTCAGATGAAGCAGAGTTGGTGTGTTATTATTTATTGCAAACTTGCGCCTCACTTGTTTTTCTGGCTCACTGCCTCTAGCACTCCAATTCCAAAAATTCTTGGACTCTCCCTGGTTCTACAATCCAGTGCCTTCACCACGATTCACTGTTCTTCCCTCCACTCCGTTCCTTTCTTCCATCTTCACGGGGCTTAGAGGTCCTGGTCCATTATTGTAACCCCTCCTTGTGTAGAGCGACAACTCCCTCCCAACACACATTTCCTTCCTCTAATTTATTTGAAAAAAAATAATCCTCAATTCTGATTACTCCAGCTCTCTGTTTGCTCTATGCCTGCACCTGTGCTATGGCTGGAAAAAAAAAAAAAAGAGCAAAACACAGCTATGCTGACATATCTCACTCTAAATTCATGACCACATGGGCCCATGGCACTGCCAAGGGAAGTCCACTACATTTACAGAATCTCCTTCTCTTATTTCTCTAGGCAAGCATTTAATATCTTCTCCTTTGACAAACTTTCAGTATCTACTTATCTGCCCTTATTCTTGGCTAGTAGCTTTGGTTCCTATTTCCCTTAAAAAAATAAACATGATAAGAAGAAAACTACATAGTCCCAAGCATATCTACTACCCTATTTGTCCCCATGCTCCAGTATACTCATATTCCTCCAGTTAGTCAAGATATAAACTATCTGGACTCCTTTCTGAGGACAGCCCTTCACTTATCGCTGGATTCGATCCTCTTCATCTGTATTCAAGAATATGGCTACCAAGAAAAACAATATCACTACCCCATTCTCTCCTCTGCCTTCTGCATCTGCAGTTCTCACTCCCTCTACGTGTTGTTTCACATCAGCCTATAGACTTGCTGTGTCTCCCACTTCGAAAGAAAAGGAAAAAACCATCTCTTGATCTCACATTCTTCTCCCCCTCCCTTCACTACTTCTCTTCACCCATTAATTTTCATCCTCAGCTCCCATTTATTCATGAACCCTCCAATTTTTTTTTGCCCCCATATCACCGAAAAAGTTCTTGTCATGATCAACAATTCGTAAAATCCAATGATCAGCTCCCAATTCTTTTTTTTTTTTTTTTTTTTGAGGCGGAGTTTCGCTCTTGTTACCCAGGCTGGAGTGCAATGGCACGATCTCGGCTCACCGCAACCTCCGCCTCCTGGGTTCAGGCAATTCTCCTGCCTCAGCCTCCCGAGTAGCTGGGATCACAGGCACGCGCCACCATGCCCAGCTAATTTTTTGTATCTTTAGTAGAGACGGGGTTTCACCATGTTGACCGGGATGGTCTCGATCTCTTGACCTCGTGATCCACCCGCCTCGGCCTCCCAAAGTGCTGGGATTACAGGCGTGAGCCACTGTGCCCGGCCTATTTTAATTAATTTTTTGAGACTGAGCACGATCTTAGTTCACTGCAACCTCCACCTCCCGGGTTCAAGCGATTCTCCTGCCTCAGCCTCCTGAGTAGCTGGGATTACAGGTACACGCCACCATGCCCAGCTAATTTTTTGTATTTTTAGTAGAGACGGGGTTTCACCATGTTGACCAAAGTGGTCTCGATCTCTTGACCTCGTGATCCACCCGCCTCGGCCTCCAAAGCGTCCCAATTCTTATTGTACTCGATCCATCGGCAGCATTGGACAGAATTGGCCGCTTCTGGTTCATAAAATATGTTCTTTGCTTGGCATCTGGGACATCAAGTTCTCTTCCCGCCTCACTAGCTCCTCTTTTTCAGTCTCTTTTGCTGCTTTTCAAACCTTCCTGACGCTAAATGTTGCAGGGCTCAAGCTAAGTGCTTCTCTTCTCTATTTACGTTCTCTCTCTTAGGTTACTTTAGCCTGGCCTGTAGCTTTAAATACCATCCGTATTCTGGCAATGTCTAAATTTCTGTCTCCAAATTGGAGATTTCCCTGGATTTTTGGACTCCAATATCCAACTCGTACTAAACATTTTCAAATGGATATCTGTTAGGCATCTCTAACTTATTCACTATTCCGTGAACACTATTGGAGGGTTCATGAATAAATGGGAGGTGAGGATGAGAATTCAAGGGTGCAGAGAAGTAGTGAAGGGAGGGGGAGAAGAATGAGAGATCAATGCACATGAAAATCACAATGAAATATTACTACATACCTATCAGAACGGCTAAAATAAAATACAATGAGAACACCGAATGCTGGCAAAAATGTGAAGAAAGGGAATCATTCATACATTGCTGGTACACATACAAAATGATACAACCGCTCTGGAAATGGAGACATAGTAGTTTTAGTAGTTTTGCTGTTGTTTTTTAAGTCATTCTTGACTCCTATTTCTCACACATTTCACTTTGAATCTATCAGCAAATTCTGCTAGCTTTACACTCCAAACATTCAGAACTTCAGCATTTCTTGTCACCTACACTTATAAAATTGGGATGCCCCAGGATTACAAAAACAGTGCCCTAACTGGGCTTTTTGATTCTCACCCTTCTCTCCCTCTCAACAAAATAGCTGTAAAGAGCCTTTTAAAAATCAAAGTTAGATTGGCCGGGCGTCTCCAGTAACAGTTAAGAAATTAAAAAAAAAAAAAGATTGGCTGGGCAAGGTGGCTCACACCTGTAATCCCAGCACATTGGGAGGCTAAGGCGGGCAGGTCACCTGAGGTCAGGAATTTGAGACCAGCCTGGCCAACATGATGAAAGCCCATCTCTACTAAAAATGCAAAATTATCCAGGCATGGTGGTGGGCGCCTGTGATTTCATCTATTCGGGAGGCTGAGGTGGGAGGATTGCATGAACCTGGGAGGCAGATGTTGCAGGAAGCCAAGGTCACGCCATTGCACTCCAGCCTGGGCGACAAGAGTGAAACTCAAAAAAAAATCTAAGTTAGTTTGTCTCGATATAGTCCTTGAAACTCTGTCCTGACTTTCCTTCCCTTCAGAGTAAAATCTAACCTTTACACAGTTTCCTTCAAGGTCCCGCGTGATCTGGTTCTCCTGTTAGTTCTCCGACCTCCTCTCCTACCTGTCTTCTGCTTGCTTAGTGGGCTCCAGCCACAGTAACCCCCCTGCTGCTCTTCAAACATGCCAAACACACCCCCAGCTCAGCCTCTCTCTCATCAGGTACCCAAGAGGCTGGCTCCCTCGCTTCCTCCACGTCTCTGCTCAAATGTCACTTTATCCATGACACCTTTCCTGAAAATTTTACATTAAATAATATTCACCGGCACTCCCAATCCTCCTGTCTTGTTTTATTTTACATAATATCAATACACTTGCTTATGTACTTACTCCTTTTTTTTTTTGAGATAGAGTCTCATTCTGTCACCCAGGCTGGAGTGCAGTGGTGTGATCTCAGCTCACTGCAACCTCTGCTTCCAAGGTTAAAGTGATTCTCCCACCTCAGCCTCCCAAACAGATGAGATCACAGGCACCCACCACCACACCTGGATAATTTTGTATTTTTAGTAGAGATGGGGTTTACCAAGTTGATCAGGCTGGTCTTGAACTCCTGACCTCAGGTGATCCACCCGCCTTGGCCTCCCAAAGTTCTGGAATTACAGGCGTGAGCCACTGCGCTCAGCTTGTACTTACTCCCTGACTTCTCCCAACTAGTATGTAAACTCTAAGCTGGCAAGGAATTTGTCCTAAAACAGTACCTGGCATGGAGGAAGCACTCAATTAAATTCATTCATTGAATGAAAGGAGTGAGGAAAGAACCTGTAACCAGAACAACAAAAAAAGACAGGCTAAGCAAGACCATCTACATTTACAACACAAGAATTGAATCTGGGGGTGCTCGTTAAGAATTGTGATGACGCTGAAATTTTGCCCAGAAAAGAAGAGATTTAAATAGTACAAGAAAATGAATATGACGGATTGTGTCTTGTAAAAGTGAGTTCTAAAGACAGAGTGTTTCCTGCCTGAAAACGTCTAGCTAATAGCATCATTGGCATAATAATGGATCGTCATCTAAGTTGATTCAGTCTTTACCCAGCTTGTCCTAGATGGCCAAGAGACTAGCAAGGGTTGGATGCAGGTGGAATACATTCTAACTCAGGGATACTTATTTCATGATTAGTTAGCAGTTTGCTGATTGCTGTCCATCCTGTCTCCCCATGCACATGTTTCAGCCCTTAGCGTTATCTCTGGATACCCATCACTTGGGTTGCTGGGCACTCCTGTGTAAAGAGGATAAACCCACCCTGAGAAAGAAGAAATTTTCTCCAGAGGTCTACACCTTAATAGATGAGGGTAGTAGCAACAGGAGAAACCTATTTTACAGATTAAAATCAGAAGAAAGGAGAAATGTTGGCTAAGAGAGGGGAGAATGGGAGACTGGCTGTCAACAAGATAAACCATAGAAAAGCCATCATCAGCATATCAACCATTCCCCGAGGCACTGTAAGTCAAAACAGATGCACATGTTGGAAGATCTAGGAACCTGCAGATGAATCCCTCTAGAACAAGAAAATAACATTCAGAAAAGTTGATATTTATTGATCATTTGCTATGTTCCAGGTGGTTACCTAAACCTGTTACGCATGTTGACAAGTTTAATTGTTACCATAACCTTAACGGGTAGTAATCATTATTATCTATGAGAGGCAGAGAGATGAACCTGCTCAAGGCCCTATCACTAGGAAATAAAGGGGTCTTGAGATGAGCCCAGACAATCTGGCTTTGGAGCTCATCATCTTTAAAAAAAAAATAAAAGCTTTATCAAGATATAATTTATACACTATAAATGCATTGTAAAGTGTATAATCTATTTTTAACATATTTGTGAAGTTGTGTGACCATCACTACAATCAATTTTAGAACATTTTCACCACTCCAAAATCAGCTCCATACCCATTGTCAATCAGTCCCCATTTTTCTTCACCTCCCCAAACCCAAGAAACAACTAATCTACTTTCTATCTCTACTGAATTAGCTCTTCTGAACCTTTCAGAGGACTGGAATCATACGGTATGTGGTCTTTTATTCATCCATGTCACATGAATCAGCACTCCATTTCTTTTTTATCAAATATTTTATTGTCTGGATACACCACATTCTATTTGCCATCCCTCAGCTGAAGAACATTTGCATTGTTTTCACCTTTTCCTTTTATAAGTCATGCTTCTGCAAACATTCATGCACAGGCTTTCATTGCTTTTGGGTATATAACTAGGAGTGGAATTGCTGGGTCATATGGTAACTCGGTAGTTAACCTCTTGAGGAACACATGGTCTTTATCACTACACAGGATATTTCACACAGCAGATATGAAGTCACAACCGTCTCTAAGGATTTTTGGGTTATTGTTGCCTCTTACATTCTATAAACTTCGTGTTTTTCTTCTGAGCAGGAGAAAAACTTCAACACCTTGTTATTTCAGCATAAAATGGAACTTGGCTAATTTGAAGTTGGAGGTGAACACATTTTACTGAATTTATGATAGGTGCCAAAGACTACTGTAAGATCTATGATGGATATAGGACACAAATCTGTTTCTGTGAACAGTCTCTACAGCTTTAATAGACCTTCACCGAGCATCTACCAAGTGCCATTCACCATTAACCGTTCATTGGCCAAGCATGGTCATGTAAGTCTGTAGTCTCAGCTACTCAGGAGGCTGAGGCAAGAGGCTTACTTGAGCCCAGGAGTTTGAGGCTGTAGTAGAGTGTGATCATGCCTGTAAACAGCCTCTACACTCCAGTGTGATCCACACTATGAGATCTTGTCTCTTTAAAACCAGTCAAGACAAAACAAAACGCCAAACCACAAACCCTGTCCGCGTGTAACTTAAAATCTTCCAGAAAGACAGATACATGTCAATGTGAACTTTTGTAAGAACAACCAAGTATAATAAAGATGTGTTGTTCTGAAATCCTATAATAGGAGCAGGAACTCATGGAGTCCAGAAAAGGAGGTCAGAAAAGGCTTCCTTGAGAAAAAAAAAAACACTTGAATGAAGATCTGAAGGGATTAAAGAGTTAACTAGTGAAATGCAGGAAGGGAGAGGGTCACCGGCAAATAAAAGAGCCTGTGCTGAGGCGCTGATACAGGAAGGAACCATGCAAGTATGAAGACTCCAAGGAAGAGAGAGGGAGCTCAGAGAGCAGAGGATGCTGAGAACAGGAGGTGAAGGGACCAGACTATGCAGAACCTTATAGGCCAGATTAAGAAGTGTGCGACCAGGCACAGTGGCTCACGCCTGTAATTCCAGCATTTTGGGAGGCCAAGGTATGTGAATTACCTGAGGTCAGGAATTTGAGACCAGCCTGACCAACATGGTGAAACCCCGTCTCTACTAAAAATACAAAAATTAGCCAGACGTGGTGGTGCGTGCCTGTAATCCCAGCTACTCAGGAGGCTGAGGCAG